TAACACCGGACGGTCACGAAATATCAATCGGCGCCATCAAATCAGCAAACTTATCATATCGTACCCTTGGCAAAATCGCTCGGGCCGGCACCGCTAACGTATCTACTAAGTACAGGGAATTCCCCACCGTACCGTACTAGTTTGAGTACGGCCGCTTCCTCCTTAAGGGACCACAGTTGTCTTCAGCCTTCGGCTTCTTTCTCTTCCCTCCTTCCCTCATCATGCCGCAACACTATCACTAACACACCAGCTCTAGTCACACTTCTTTCGCGTGTTCCACACTCCCGAATTCAAGATCGTTGCACCGAACCTGCTAAATAGAAAACCACTCTTTTCCTGAACCAATCTACAATTAATGTTGCGAATGGTCTTATCCTGCCGTGTCGAATAGAGGCAGGTGCCTCGGATGTGCTTCCGATTATTGGACTAACGGTGCTCAGTACCGGTACAACTGCCTGGTAAGCACTATGGGGGGGGGGGCATTCCGTTATGCTATCCACTCAGTGTATTTTGTTCCGCCGAGGCGTACGCAGGGAGGTGTCAATCACGCGTGGACCTCTGATGCACAGCACCCCACGGAGAGGAAGAAATGTTGATGACTGTGGGGCTCGGTGGTGCTCTCGGTTTGTTTGTATGCAGGTGTACGAGAAAGCCACGCTGTGATATATCCAACCAGGTTTCCACCCCATCTAGTCATGCCTGAGGCATGTACCTGCAAACAGTTACTTTGATGATGCTGCGAGTGAGACTTTGTGAGCACGGTAATTATATCGGGTGAGGTCACTGCTTTGACGGGGATGTCACTGTCCGTTATAACAATGATGGCCGATCCAATTCGATTTAATTTAGCCATTGAGAGATAAGCTCCAACACCACGCCCCCGACTCCACCCACCGCTCGATAAGGTAGCTATCATAGAATGGGTGCAACGCCGCAGGTCTAGAAATGTCAACTACAGTATTGTACAATGCGGCGGCTAACTAATGTAAGAAGAAAGGAAAGAGGAAGAAACAGGAAATTCAAACACAATTACGTATCTGGTCGGCAGCGTGCTATGTTGCTTCAGAGCCGGTGAATACAGAAAACATAGCCAGGAAAAGTGAAATGAGAGAAAAGGACCACAATTAGGGGATAGTGATAAGATGGACGTGCACCCCGTTTGCCCAATAATTTAGAGACCAAGTAAGTAGCTACAGAGGAAGTGAGAAAGAAAGATATAAGTTCCCTTTTTGGAAAAAGAAAAAGAAAAGAGAAAAGAGAACGAGACCATGCATAGTATGCTGTTTTCCGTCACCTTGAAACACTGGTAGACCGTTTCCCACAGGAGTTTTTCCCGTTCAGATATGCCTCCATCCAGCGAGGCCGAGGGCCCGAGGAATTAGGCATAAGTGGAGCCCGACCCAACAACACGATGGTACTCCCTCTGCCTCACCCTCCTCAGCATCGCGAAGCGATGCCTGTTTCTCTGGACCTCGATTTGATCTTGATCAAGCATCTGGCGACGAAGGCTATCCGGGAGTCTGGGCCTCGAGCGGCCATGGTGGATGTGGTCGACATTGGCAGCGGCGGAGGGGGAAGGGGAGGGGGAGGGGGAGGCGTTGGCGGGGGCGGTGGGTGCGGGGGCCGGGGGGCTCTCTCCTCTGACGCCAGGGGCAGAGCCAAGGGCTGGACGGATAGGAGCTGTGAGGGAGGTGCCGGTGGGGATCTGGATGATTGGTAGGGGGCGGATGCCTCGGGTGGAGTGGACTCTATACGGGTCAGGCGCAGGGGCCCTGATTGGCAAAGCGGCCCGGTCACCGTCCAGACCTTCTGGGGCTCCCTAGATCGAGCGTGGGGGGTATTGTTAGCCGTGCGTTCTAGGGTGGCGATGGTGGCCGGATACTCACAAGGTAATGGGCAGAGAGGGAAATGCGACCGACAAGGCCGCGAGAATGGTCGGCCACACCACCAATGATGGCATCCGCGGCACTCGCCAATCCACCTCCCACGCCAATGGAAAGGGATACGGGAGGAGCGGGGCCGGCATGCCCATCCCCGTAAACCGACCTCTCCATCTCGGCCCACCGACCGCGTCTGCTCATGCTACGGTAGAGGTGGGCAAAATCCTGGTCGTCGGAGGACTGCTCCTCCATCATGTGGATGACGACGGGGCAGTTGAGGTGATTGGCATGCACTCCCAGCTTCCCACAGAAGCAGCAGGATTGGGCGGCGCATCTGATGCAGGTTCCCACCCCGCGAGAGTCGATGCGAGCTTGCGGGATGAAGGACCTGCATTCGTAGATTGGACAGTAGAGCGGGCGCTCCTGGTAGAGCCCTTCGTGGTCCGAGCGAATGATGATCCTGGTAGACATGATGGTTTTTTTTTTCTTTTTCTGTTTCAAATTAGAATAGAGTATCATCACGTGATGGGGGGTTTCTCCAAGGTGAGATATCTTACAAAGAGAGAGAATGTGTGTGTGGGGATGGACAGATTACCGGACCTTCCAAGCGAGCGGAATGGGAGCGCAGCCAAGGGTGGTGATGACACTGATGAGGGAGTTGGTGGTGGACACGGGGGCGAGAGTGTTTGACCGGGAGAGGGAGAGCAAGGGAAGGGAAAGGGAAGGGAAGGGACGGGAAGGGACGGGTGAATTGGGACGTGAATATTTTTTGGCCGCGAGGCCCTGTCTACGCGTGCCCTTTATTTGATGGACCGTTGAGCCTGTTTCCCTCACTCACCCTCTCGTAGGGCGAGGCTTCGAGCTGGTGATCTGAGTGATAGCTCGCTGCCCGGGGCTTGGTTGGCGAGGTCTCTGCTCCTTCAGCCCTATTCTGGCGCCCTGGGGAGTTCATGGTGGGGGAGGGAAGGGCTTGCCATGATCAGCGCTTCGCCGAGAGCTAGGTTTTGTGAGAATAGCCTCACACTCGCTCGTGTGCGCTGGGAAAGACGGTAATGATAGTGGATTGTATGATATGTACCTGTCTGCATAGAATACAAGGAAGCCTTGGAGCCCCCGCAGGGAGCAAACGGCAAAGTATTTGGATCCCGCCTTTCCTACCGTCCACGAAAGACCATTCGCCGCCCTCGTTTATCGACGACGCTTATCGGTGAGGCTTGTTATCCCCATTCCCAACTAGGGGCCATATCCTACGGCTTCCTGGGCTTGACAGGCGTGAGGAGGGCTGTAGGCGGATGGCGATGGTGGTGGGAAGAACAGATTGTCTCGACCGTATTACGCATGGAATGGACTATAGCCGATATCCAGCATTCTCCCGCTGGCCTTCTGGCAAATCCTACACGGTATGTCTATTCCTCCCTCCATTAGAAACCTCACCATCGCCAGAACATCGCCGCGCCAACTAAACCAGAGACTCGGTATGAGGGACAAACCCCCCGGAAGAGAAATAAATATCACATCCCCAAGGCCAAAATCTGCAAAACCGTAGCCCATGTCCGCATCTCCCTTCATTACTTACATCCGCTGTCCCATTACACCTATGATATCATACCGCAATTCACAGCCCCCCCTTCCCCCTTCCCCCTACCAATGATATAACCTCCATGTTTTTCCACATCCTGCTAGAACCGCCCCGTCGAATGGGTTAGGGTTCGGAATTCTTCCAAGACTATGTCGTACTCTCGGGGACTTCTTCCATCGTTGGACTATGAGATCACAACCAGTTTCGTCACTCCGGGACGGCACAACACTCTTGCCCACACGCGCAACACGCAACCTCACCTCACCATCACCATCACCACCACCACCACCACCACCCAAGGGAGAAACGAGCAGACGAAAGAGACAATGTCCCACCAGTCCCCACCAATACAGACGGGCGCACAGCTGATCGCCCACTCGCTAAAATCCCTCGACGTGCGAATAATCTTCGGCATAGTCGGCATCCCAGTGATCGAGGTGGCGGAAGCCTGTCTAGCCCTGGGGATCAAGTTCGTCTCCTTCAGGAACGAGCAGGCAGCTTCCTACGCCGCGAGCGCGTACGGGTACTTGACCGGTCGACCGGGAGTTTGTCTTGTCGTCGGTGGCCCGGGGGTGTTGCACGCCATGGCTGGCGTGAGCCTCCCACCGACTCGTTTACCACGCGCGGTGGAGAACTGATTGAGAGGCGTGCAGGTCGGGAATTCCACAGCGAACGCGACATACCCATTCCTACTCCTCGCCGGAAGCGCGGAAACCGGTGCGGGGCCTACAAGGGGTGCGTTCCAGCAGTTGGACGCGGTATCACTACTGGCCCCGCACACGAAATTTGCCGTTCGACCGCCGAGCTTGGAAGACCTGCCGCGGTCGATCCGGGATGCGTATCGATTCGCCTTCTACGGGAGGCCGGGGGTTGGGTTTGTCGATTTGCCGGCGGACTATATCCAGGGTGTGCCGAGGGAAGTTGTGCCGATTGAACGGGTGGAGGAGCAACCCCGGGTTCTTGGCGACCAACGGAGGGTGATGGCGGTCGCGGAGGCGTTGAAGGGGGCGGAGAGACCGCTGGTCGTCATTGGGAAGGGAGCAGCGTACGCCAGGGCTGAGGGGGTATTGAGGGAGTTTATCGATGCGTAAGGATTTACTGCTTTCCGCCATCTATCTGTCCATCGAAAGACTCATTGAGGCTGATGAAGGCGATAGGACTAAAATTCCCTTTCTCCCGACCCCCCAGGGGAAAGGCGTCCTCCCAGACGACCACTCACTCAACACCTCGTCCGCCCGCTCCGCCGCCCTTGCAGGCGCAGACGTCGTCCTCCTCGTGGGCGCCCGGCTAAACTGGATCCTGCACTTTGGCGAGCCGCCGAAATGGTCCACGGGGGTACGCATAGCCCAAATTGATATCTCCCCCGAAGAGCTCGATCGCTGCGCCGCCGATCCGACACTCTCGATCCATGGGGACATAACCTCCGTAATCGCCCAGCTAAAAGCCCACCTCTCAGACCACCGTCACATCTCCTCCTCCTGGAGCAACACGCTCTCCGAATCCGCTGCCAAAAACTTAGCCATAGCGCGGGCGAAAGCATCGACGCCAACAAATCCACTAACATACCATCGCACCTTTTCACTCATTAAATCAACTCTGGAATCATTATCCCCAGGCGGCGCCGAGAACCTGGTCTACGTCTCAGAAGGCGCCAACACAATGGACATCTCGCGCAGCATCTTCACCGTATCACAACCCCGCCAGCGCCTGGACGCAGGCACCTACGCAACGATGGGTGTAGGCCTTGGCTACGCCATTGCTGCCGAAATGGCTTACAACCACACCCGCGAAGCCTCTCCCCTCTCCTCCTCATCAATCAGGAAAAGGATCATATCCCTAGAAGGCGACAGTGCCCTCGGCTTCTCACTTCCGGAAATCGAAACCATGTCCCGCTACCGCCTTCCGATCATCATTTTTGTCATTAACAACGGGGGCGTGTACCACGGCATATCCGACAACACGCCTACATGGGGCGCGGATTGGTGGGATGTGGATAAAGAGGGGAAGAGGAGGGATATTCTCCTGACGAGCACTGCGCTGGGTTTCGAGACTGAGTATGATATTGTTGCTAGGGGATTGGGAGGTAGGGGGTGGAGGGTTGTGGACGAGGGGGAGCTGGTCGAGGCTGTGCGAGAGGCGTGGAGGCATAGGGATGGGCCGAGTGTGGTGAATGTTATTGTTGCTTCTGGGGTTGGGGGAAAGTTGGAGTTTGGATGGCTCGGGAAGGAGAAGGGGAGCGGGGGGAGTAAGTTGTAGGATTGAGAGGTGGGTAATTTGTACATCGATGAAATTTATTAGTCTTTATCATAGCTCTCTCTCCAATCGGCCATTGTCGGTCGTGGTCCTGTATATGGTATCACTCTTTGTATAGTATGATATTATGATAGAAGAATTTCCGATCCCAAAGTGCGTTTAAACCACTATCCTATATGGAAATATGCATCACGCTGGAAGAAAGGGAGCAAACACTGGTATAGTACTCCTAGAACTTTATATGGCCAATACAACGCCGCCCGCAAGTACAAGCAGAACTAAAGAATAATGAAATCAAAACCGGAGACGCCCCCCCCCCCCCGAAAAAAAAAAGAAAAAGAGAAAGAAAAACAGAGGTACTGGAGATATAAAAGACTCCCGAAGAAAAGGAAACCCAAGCTCATTTCACAAACCTCCCACCCAAAGAAAGAAAAAATTAAAGCTGGAAAATATAGAAAGGAAAGAAAGGGGGATTCGAAAATATGATACAAGGCGAGAAAAACACCAGCAGCAAACTTCTCCAGCAAAGCCAGTCAAGACACCAAAACACTGCCAATTCCCTGAAATATGACCACATGACAGCCTCCGTCTTAGCACCAGAGAGAAATATTATACAGTGGAAAGCACGCAGCAGAGGGAGGAAAACTGTTCACGTTAATTAGTACCACTTGCAATCTCTGGGGCGAGGAGGGTGGAGTACAGCATTGAACAGGGAAGAGGAAGGACTCACAAAGCTAGTGCGGACCGGAGTAGGAACAGGGCAAACGAGAGGAGATGTTCAAAAAGAGGGGGGATTCCCGCGATAGCGCAAGCGCCAGGCAATGATTGCCGCTACTGATATGACAGTGATGGCAGTAGCGAGGGAGATGGGACTGAGAGGTAGTAGGGGTGAAGGGGAAGGGGTGTGGGAGGTAACTTCTGGGTTATCATCGGGAGTATCCTGAGGGGGAGGAGGAGGGGGAGAGGAAGGAGTGGACTGGGGTGGGGATAAAGCGTGGATAATTGGAGTGGGCGGAGATGCAGTGACAACTGGAGCTTCTAGGGGTGGCTGGGAGGCGACTGGGGCCTCGGGATCATCCGGTGGAGACTCGGGAAGAGGCGGCGTTCGGGAATCGGGAGAATTAGTGTCGTGATTAGTGTTGACATGGTCTTGTAGAAGCTTCACGATTGCCGTATGCGCACGATTGGTAGCGAGTGATAGTGCTGTTTGGCAATCGGAATTGGGTAAGTGAGGGTCGGCCTCATTCCGGGCCAGGAGCAGCTTCACTATTCCTTCATGTCCATTCATGGTAGCCAATAGCAGTGGTGTTTGGCCGTCCTTATTCAACGAGTTAGGGTTGACTTCGTTCCGGGCCAGGAGCAGCTCCACTATTCCGTCATGTCCATTCTTGGAGGCCAATAGGAGGGGT